TCTCATTTACGTAATATTCCCTGAAAGGACATTATACTTTGTTTGAGTATATAATAAGCACATATATTATTTTATTATAAAACACATTATTGAAAGCAATTTATATTATATTATAGATTTTATATTATATTATACATACATGTCTTCTCTAATATTTTTCAATTTCAATTTATTAAATGTTTTATTTTTTTTTTAATTCCTATATCACTTTTCTAATGATTAAATCGGCAATCTTGCACATCGTATCCGATATCGCTATCGGAAGGGAAAAGAGGAAGAGATATTTCACGAGAGATTTCACGTAACAGGTTACAATGAGAAGATATAATCGTATCGATATCGACTTCAGTCTCTGACGGGAGGGCGGAGGAGGGGGAGGGGTGTCATTAACAGAATTGCGAAAACCGTTCAACGGAATCTCATTACGTAATGACGGGATTATTTTGAAAAATTACATCGGCGTGCAACAAACTTATTTTCAAAGTAGATGTAAGAACGATCTTTTCAAACTATAAGCTTTTGTGCCCCGCCGCCCCCACCCCCTCCCCCCGTTCCCTCCTCTCCTTTGCCCGAGCACGAGACTCGGTAAGACCGATGAAAGTTCTAATCCTCTTGACGTCGCCGACCGAAGCACTTTGCCCAACAAGCTAAGAGCAACGGGTAAGAAGATAGGAATGTAACTGCTCTAAGTCACGTATATAAAATCCGTAGCGTCCAGTTATGAATTACGGCTGTATCGCAGTCACGTTGCATCGTTGTAACGCGAAGAAGAAATAATCACGTGCACGCGACTTCTCGCGTCCCTCTCTCTCTCTCTGTTTTTTCTCTCCTTCTCTCTCTCTCTCTCTCTCTCTCTCTCTCTCTCTCTCTCTCTCTCTCTCTCTCTCCATCTATCTTTCTCTCGTCGCCTTTTTCGCACCCTCCCACGGCGATCTTTTTATCGTTTCGGGCGCTCGTTTACTTAACGCGTTAACGCTTCCCTCATTTGCCGAGTCGTTTCGTGACAACTCTCGAGGGATTATCGGGTTAGAGTCCCGTCGCGAAAAGTAATGTCATCGAAAATAAAAAAGACAAGTCGACCCGTAAAACGCGTAAAATGATTGTTGTATTTTTTTCCATCTGGATAAATTAAAGAGCAAGCTTTCTCTCTCCTCTCTTTCTTTCCGTCTTTCTCTATCTCTCTAAACTAGCACGGAAATCTGCCTTTAATAAATTCTTTGCGTTTGAGTTGTGTGCCCCTCCCTCCTGTTTCTCAAACTTTATTACAAAAGAGAAACTTTTGGGCATCTCTCTTTCTCCCCCGTCTCTTGCCGCGAGACGTATATAATTAAACAGTGAATGAGTTTATTAATAACCGTCTGCCAGCGCAGTACGAAGGAACGTCCGTTTATTGAAAATATATCCTTGGGAAAGTGTTTGAAATTTATAACTGCATCTCTCTCGGGGGACATTCAACGAAGCGGGGCCGTCGCCATGTCCCACATAAGTAATGCAGATAGAAAGATAATTAAGGGGAAACAAATTAAAACTTATCGCGTCGAGTTTCAATGAATAATTTATCGCATACGCGTACATGCGCAATCTGACATTCTCGACAGAATTACAGCGACAACGTACACATATACATATCGTTGCCAGATCGCAGTTTTTAATGATATACATTTATTCTTCTCACTTTACCCCTTTTAACCCTTGCTTTAATGACAACAAACTCGATAATTGAACAATATTTCCTTAGGCAATATTAATGAATATTAACGGTATTATGAATATATCACGGTATTACACGGTGCGATACAATGTATGTTAATAACTGAAGAAAAAGCTGCAAAAGGTAATTGAAAGCATAATGCACACGTTGGAATTTAATTTTATTAACGCTCGAAGGGTAAATGTCTTTATATACGTGTAATCGCGAAAATACGAGCGCATAAAATAAAAATTCACCTTCTGTGTTTTCTCCTGTATTGTCGATTGCGCCCAATTTTATTACACCGCGAATGATCCGCGCCGGTTTCCATGGCGCATGATGGCTCGTAGCAATGCACAACTGCTATTGTCGGTACATTGCGGTTACGGGAAAAAAATAAAAAACAAAAAAAAAAGTACAAAATAAAAGAGTCAACATACGCGCGAGGCAGAATATATTGCACAAAGTGTGCGCATATCGATTGCCGCGCGGCTTCGTGAGTAAATTATTATTATACGACTCCATTGCTGCTCTCTTCCCTTTCTCCGTATTGCTGTGCACTTCGCTGTGCGCGACATCATGAACTGATGACTTTAATTACCGCGACATTTCCTATTAAGAGGGCAATTTAGCTCCTTGGCAAACTTTGCCTCGATCTGAGAGGCAGCGTAAATAAAAATAAACAGACGTCGCGCAACCTTTGCGTAACGATCGTCTCGCTCCACCTCTCTTACTCTCCCACGCCCCCGCGCCCCCCGAATCCCCGGCTTGCTCTTTCTCTCGCAGATCTTACCTCGGTACTTCGAAGGAACCGTGAATATATATTTCTTGCAGGGAAATTATTACGAGTTTTTAATTCTTAATTGATAGCGCGAGATCAATCCTATGCACTTTGGATGGAATTCATAAATATAGTTGTCACAGAAATATATTTTTTCGATGAATATCGATCGAATTTCGAATAAAGATGTATTCGTCACAAGGCGCAACCGTGCAAGATATCCTCTCATTAAATAAAGAGAGCTTTACTCTAAATTACCGCAAACTATAAATACGGATTGTCGCGCAGAATACTCGACTGCAAATAAATAATAGTTAATAATTTAGACAGGATAATTTAGCCACGCACATCTGTCGTAATCCCAAATGGAGAGGCGCCTGGGAGCGAAAAAGGGCAAATACGAGATTAACACGAGGTCGAATGTAATCTCGTTTTTATAGGACGAAGAGTAGAAAGGGGTGGAGAGGGGATGCAGCAACGACGTGTAGTACGCGACTCGCCATTGGAGAGTCACCGTTTTGTAACGATGTAATTTATGCGGTCGGGACGATCAATGCGTCCAACCTCCTCGCCCGACGTTGACATTAATTAATTATGGAATCGGACTTTTTCGCGCTCTGGCTTATAGGGCGCGCCGAGCTGCGGATCGCTGATCATCCTGGCGACCATGTGCGCGCGCTCGGCGGTGATATCAATGTGTTAAGTAGCCTGGGAAAATGTAGGACGGGCAAAAAACTTAGCAAAGAGGAAGCGCGCAAAGTCTGGCGCGCGCGGCTACAAATTACTCCCCGACTCCACCCCCTCGTCCTCGCCCTCGCCCTTACCCCAGGTCCGACGATATATAACGCGGCTGGCCCGCGTGCACATTTACCGCGCACCCCGACGATTTTATGCCCGCGACCTTAAACGCCGGCGTACCTATTTTCAGCTCTTTATCGCCGCCCCCGCGGTGGCTTCAGTCGCCGGTGCTTTATTTACACGACAATATAAAAACGTTATCGCGCGGGCTTTTTTCGGACGATTAATCACGCCCGCGCTACCCGTTGATTACCACGAGCGATCCGTCGTCCTGTCGCTTAATTAGCCGCCCTTCGCCTACGCGCGCTCTGTTTCTCCGTAACGCGTCCGAAACCATCGGGACCGCCCTCAACAGCGTACTTCTGACACCTAACATCTAACGAGCGTTTCGAAATTGCGTGGCAATTAAGGCGACCGCTGTATAATGGTATCTCTTTGACGGATAGCAGCTGGTAAATTACGGTCACGTTGGCGTTAATATCAGTTACCGATACGGTGCAACGATCCTCCCTTCGGGGGACTAAAACATTTATTGGAAGCATCTCTTAAATCACCGCGTGCGTGCGCTATAGTATCACGGTGTATTTGCATATTACAGTAACGTTTCGTTCCTTCAAAAGATTGGCAAATAATAATGTTTGAAATGGAAAATAAAAATGTCATATTAACGCAAGAGAAGTATACATTTCTCTTTTGTTGGATTGGCAAATGGTGAATGTAAAATAAACTATTGGTTTATTTGTACATTTTTCGAAAGCTATTTAAAAAATAGTTATTTTTAAAATCGAAAGAGAGAAATATATTTCAAATAGCTATTTCTCGTTTTATATATATGTATATAATCACAATTGAAATTATTTCTCTCGCCATATGCACAATAAAATAGTTTGTTATTTTATCGTGTTTTCGTAAATCTTTATGCTCGTTTCATTTATTTCATTTTTTAGTCCATTTAAGACAATGTATTATTCGTGACAAAAATCCAAACAAAATTTTATTTAAAGATGTGTATGTATCATGTAATATAGAAAATATTTAGAGAAGTAAAATATACATACATTTTTTTAGAGAAGTAAAATATACAAACATTTTCACAAAATGCAGATACATTAAGATTTACGATATTTATACGGTATTTATTATAAATTATAAATAAATTGGTTTTGAATTTCTTGTTTCTAGTAAAATCATTTTTGTTTATATCTTATTAAATCATATTAGCCGTTTTCAAATTAACGTTAAAGGTAACTTTGATTACTTTTTAGATACATATATTCGTTTTCAAATCAGAAAATTATTTTTTTTTACTACATAATATTGGAAATAATATTTGAAATAGTAAAGTGATAAAGAAAAGAATGCTACTTGAAACGATAAAACTCATTAGTTTTTCTTATAATTCTCTTAAATTTTTATTTTTAATATTATGTTATTTCAAATGAATATTTCCTGTGTTTATCCCTCCTTTAACTTTATGGAAGCTAATATTTTATTTAAATAAAACACGTAAAATTTTAATAATTATTTTCAATGATTTACACTTGAAATGCCATCGATCGTATTTTATGAAAAAAGACAAAACCAATTTTGGAATCAATACCTGGAAAAATAGCCCATCTAGAGAAATGTATTTTTATGTCTGATGAAAGAAAAAGATTTCATTTCGTCGAGAAGTGTAATAGAACGTAAAGCCGGTACGGGGCGGCGCATAGTGATTTTATCTAAACTCACCTCTTCGCCCCGATGCATACCAATGACTGGCACCGCGTATCAGCATCGAAAAGCAGGCGCGCGAAACTGACGCTGGTTCGCTTCTAGGGTCGTTGTAAAGGCTTCACCGCACGACATGATAGTTAATGATTTAACCAGTCGATAGTGCTATACGAGGGATGCGGGCGATTCCAGCGGTATAGGGCGCGTTGCACGGTGTCAGTAATAATGCAGACGAGCATCAAGCGGATCGATGAAGAAGGATCCAAACTACAGAGCCAAGGATCGCGGTAAAGAAGAGATTGCTCGTGTATTTCTCTGGAACAAGAAATACACATATAATTGTAATGAAATATATAATACGTAAAACATACAAGATATAACATCGTAAAACATATAAGTCAATAATGAATCGGAATCGGGTTGTAAAATATGAAAGCGAGAATCTCCACAAATGGAGACTCGCAAAATAAGTTCGACAAGTGCCATTTCTGAAGGATGTTATTTCTCACATCAACGTTCTCATCCCCGCAATCTCATTGCAAAGGACGCGAAACGTTGTACGATACGATTGGAATTCCCGAGGGGTAACAATAAGAAATTATTATGCTTGACGAGGCTTACATTACAATTGGCATTTAGTGCAAAAGGAAAGACGGAGAGACGGAGAGACAGAGAGAGAGAGAGAGAGAGAGAGAGAGAGAGAGAGAGAGAGAGAGAGAGAACCCGATACATCTGTATCATCCTCGTCTCTCAAAGGCAAATCCGAATGTCGTTATGCAATCCAGAAACACAATAACAGAATTGTCAGATGGCATACCTGGCAGCTTTAATATAGACACGACTCGAATCGCATGAGGATCGATCGCGAAACGCGTAAATGTGTGCCCTAGAGGATTTTAACATGAAGAAACGCTTTCTTCCGTCTCGAAGACGCAATGTATGGAAACGATCGGTTCATATTTCTTTACTTTTCTCCTATTTTTTTCTCACTCCCCCAGAACCTCCCCGCGATTTCTCCAAGCTCACATTTGGCGAGAGAGTGAGGTGAGCTACTGTATCGTGTGCATTATGAAATACATTAATCTCACTGCCATTTATCCATGATCCATATCTATTATAGCCGCCGCAAATGGAGGAGATAAATGCTGCTTTAGATTCCAAGGAGGTTTCGATAAACGAGAGCACGCAATTACGGCTCCCATGATAGGGAAGGATTATCGCGTTATAAACGAGTTTAACAACAAGTTTTTATTCTTTCGAAAATGGCTCCCATGCTCGATAATAAAACCAACACCTCCCGATGGATCCGTGCGCTATTTCGCGCCATATTTACGATGGCGAGATGCGAGGAGGAAAACGACGAATTTTCATTCAATTAATTCTTGTTTTAATTAACATTAACATGAAATCTTATTATTTAGAGTACATGTGCGTGCGACATTATGCACTAGAATTCTGAAATAGGATTCTGAACTTTTTAAAGCATTACGCAGTGATTTTGTACGTATATCACAATGTTTGATTGTAAAAATATTACTAGATGAAAATAGTATACGTCTCATTTCTCCTTCTTTATACCGCGAATCTTTGATAATTTTCTCTTCACGATTCAATATTAGGGAGACTATTCCGCGATTGTTTCGTGTCCTACATAGTCTATTCTATGGATACAAGCTCTATTGAATCGAGGAGACATTTCTAAAACTTGCTCGCGAAATCGAAACTCGATTTCCGCTGAAACTCAGGTCCATGGATGGGATAGAGAAAACGCGAATTCGCGCATCGCCATGAAATTTCTTATTTCGCTTCCGCTCATCCCATAGACGACTCTACCCCAATCGATTGTGCGCTTACTATCCGTTCACGATCTGAAAGCACATAATTGGATGATGTCGTGCTATGACCGTAATAGAGAGACACGATCAGTTCGCTATCGATTGGCGAAGAATCTCGGTATCTCATAGCGTGGTATCACCAAGAAAAATGAAGAGCCTTCTCTCTGTTCGAATATCTTATATATTTGTATCGCATCTACTCCGCTAAATATTATACACAATAAAATTAAATAGACTCATTACGTTGAAATTCGCAATCATAAACAGTTATATAAATATCGACGTATTTAGTATAATCAATAACTGCGCAGGATTATTACACCGTGCATATGTGAAATTAATGAAATCACTTTTAGGCAATTAGAGTTCGAGTGATATAAATTGGATAGTTATGATATGTAGAATAGTATCGATATGTATTTCACGAGTAACGTTTAATAATTTAAACTTTAATTGATTTACATGCGTACGAAATAAAGATGGTGCAGAGAAAAAAAATAAAATACCTCTCGCTTTTGTGCGCGACTTGAGTCGCAATTTTCGCCTGTCTCGTAATTTTCCGCGGTACGTGGAATTGCATGTAAGGAATTTTACGTTTATAAAGCACGATCTACGACATTACACTGTCCGCAGACACGCAAGTAGGTCGTAAGAGATAGCAGCGAGAGTCTTTGGAGAGAATCGGTGGATTCGCGCGGCTCGTAAAGAGCTCCAAGCGCTCACGTGACTAAGTGTCGTGAAAAACCATTGTCACCATCGGACTGTGTGTGGTCCGTTAAACTCATCCTCTCGTCCCAAGATCGTAATTTTATTGCAAGAATCCACCCGCGAAGCGAGACGATCATCATGAAAAGGAGAGAGAAACTTTCGCGTTCATGGTTGAACATTTCTTGAAAACATATAACTACTTGTGCACTTAATTATATTCATGTGCGTACTAATTTATCGTATAATTAGACCATTATATACGGATCAATGAAACTCAAACAATGTCATGGAAAGGAAATCTGCAAGCATTATTATGCGAAATTGCAAGCATTATTATGCGAAACTGTGTATTTTCTCAACATATTTGTTCATGTTGATTATATCTCGACAAATTCAATTCTATCAATATTTCTCCGGAAATTTTCGCGCATGTTTTTAAATAACTACCACCAAATAAGCTCACGTCAATTCGCATATTAATTAAGTTACGATCGATATTTCCCTTGACACAGTTAACCACCCCAGGGGTCCACACACGATTAATGCTCCGTCTCGCCTTATCGAGCAAAGTACATTGTCGAATGTACGATAACATCCGTCAAAAAGTCGCGTCGACATTCCGCGTCCCGTCCCTCGATGATACGAGTCCGTTCGAGATAAATCATCCCCCGACCGCGATGGGAAAGAAGGATACGAGGAAAAGGGTAGGGGCGGGTAGAGAGAAGGAGAACGCGGGATGACAGCTCTCATAGATTTCAGCGTCCCGGATGCGCGAAACGCGGTGGCTCTTAAGAAGTAGCGCGCCATCCGTCTTGTCGTTGCCGCATGGATAAGAATGGGAACGTAAAAATCTCCGTAACCGGATATACCCTCTCGTCCTACCACCACCATCTCCGGGCGGCTCCATGCGGTCTCTCCCCGCCGCGCGCGAAATTCCTCGAGACAGCTCGAATCCGTTGCCTCATAATTTCCTCGAATAACGGCGACACCGGGAACGCGTGCGGAAAGAGAGCGGAAGAGACGAGAAGAGGAGACGGGGCGAGGGGGGGAAAAAGGGGGACACCATGCGCGCGCCGTTTAGGGAGCTCATTTCTCACGAGAGCGTGCGAAAGCCGGGGTGAGCATCCGCCTCGCGATACTTTTGAATTACGACTCGCCGCGGCACGAATGTATCATGTTTGCGGGGGCGCGTCCCCGCGATCTTCTTATCTCGCCGACGTCGAGGAGCGCGCGGAGGGGGAATCGGCATCGGGCGCTCGGTTCGAAAGGTTTCGGTGCCGAAGGCTCCAGCGGAAACCGCCAACGATACAACGCGATGCTCTCCTCTGTAAAATGAAACTATATGCTCCCGGCGTGATTGGAAAAATAGGACGGATGGATCGTTATTTTACGTTTGTGCAGCGGAGAACGCGCTCGCGTATTACAACGACGTACGTACATACATAAATCACATCGCGAAGCCGATCGTTTTGATTGCCGAGCGAGATGAACGGTATCCTCAGGCGTACCGTCCGTTTATAGGGCATACTCTTTTCGTGTACAAAGGGGATGAAGAGATGCGGATTTCGAGCTCTCTAATACGTCACTCGCATGATTCGGCGCAAATTAAACAGCAACTGTGTTTTTTTTTTTTTTTACGATCGTGACGCTGTATTGATCATACTGATCACACACTTGCGTAATCACTCAATGGCTCGGCATTAACCGTAATCCTTTTTTAAAATGGGAATTTTAAAAAAAGCTCTCGATTCATTCGAGTAGCTCGATTTGTCAACGCGATGCGCTTGCGCACGTGATAGAAATAATTCCTGTTTTTTACGACGCTCCTTTTTTATTGCGACGCAACCTCGCCCACAGCGTAATTTCGTACGGTAAATTGCGATCGTATACACGCGGATACGGTGACCGCTGTTTACGATATCCAGAGTTATTTCAGCTTTATTATGGATACACATTCCCCCTTATTCTTGTTGTTTCGCCGGGCCTATCTTTTTATATATAAACTATCATCGCAGTTTTGAAAATTACTCCGAATTGTTTGCTCAATTTTTATCAACAATCTCGAATATCTAATTGCGTTGTTAAAATGCTTTATTAAGGATGCGCAATCCCCTTATTTTTGACGTTTCGCAGAGTCCATCTTTTTATATATAAACGATCATCGCAATTTTGAAAATTATTCCGAATTATTCACTCAATTTTTGACCAACAATCTCGAATATATTTAATTGCGTTGTGAAAATGCTTTATTATGGATACGCAATCCCTTTATTCTTGTCCTTTCGCAAAAACCGTTTTTTTATATATAAACTATCATCGCAATTTTGACAATTACTCCGAATTTTCACAACGCAATTAAATATATTCGAGATTGTTTACCAACAATCTCGAATATATTTAATTACGTTGTGAAAATGCTTTATTATAGATACGCAATCCTCTTATTCTTGTCGTTTCGCAAAATCCGTCCTTTTGTATATAAACTATCATCGCAATTTTGACAATTACTCCGAATTGTTCGCTCAATTTTTACCAACAACCTCGAATATCTAATTGCGTTATGAAAATGCGTGTCTATATTAATGCACAAAGTAAGAATCACTGTCAAATTATGTAGCCAGAATCGTATTCAACATTAAAAAAAAGCTACAAGGAATAATTATTCTTTTTTTTAGTTTTTTTTTCATCAAATTGCATCTAAAACTAATAAAATAATTGTGGCGAATATATGAGACGATTCGTGTGTATATATTTGTTAATTTGGATATTAAT